CAGGTAATCCTTTGTCCAGGGTTTCTCCTCAAGGCACCAGCTCACGCTCTTATTCTGTTGCTACACCAGGATTAAATTCCTTGTAACCAGAGATCTGTCTGAGTCCCTCACGAGCAACAGGCAAGCACCATTCCAAAAGAATGAGCAATGACTGCTCTGCCCTCCACCAGTCACTCAGGTGTTGGGTTCAGACCCCTGCATCCAGACTGGTGGAGATGGGTGTCGTGGGGCACCCAGTGCAGTGGCATAGCCCATCAGGAGTTCAGAGGAGAGCTCCAACAGGGCCTGAGCTCTCACTGCCCATGGCCATTCTGGGGAGGGAGTGTCAGTCTGTGCTGGGCTGTATCCATATCCACAGCAGATCTCCAAGGTGATCCACCCATCTCCTGACAGTTCTTTTTTGAGGCAATTCCTGCATAGACAAAACATGTCTCTGGAGAGTGCACAAAACACCATATAAAATAGTTTACCCTGTGTTGCTATTATGTGCACATAGGGTCTCTTTAAAAACAGGGCGGGGATTCAGGGAGATCTGCATGTGGAGGAATGTTCATCTTCAAACTGTGTGCTCTTGTAACTATTTGAATTGATTCTTGTGGTGTAAACTTGAAATATTAAGAGGAGGTTCTCCAGAAGGTTTATGTCAGCTGAAAACACTGCTTTATGTTTTGTACATATTTGAGATTTCCTCTGGAGTAGTACTTGCTTGAATCATGATAATTCTGTGTATATTTAAAAAAATGACCTGTAAACAACAAAATGCTTGGAAGTTTTTTTATGGTCTTCAGGATATAGAAGATTAGACCCATTGAATCTGCAGAGAAATTGGCACTTAATGCACTGCAATTAAGGTATAAAATTACTGGGCATATTGGTTCTTGTACAATATATAACTGATCTGCCACTGGCTAATTGTGACAGGAGTGTTTATATATTAGACATATATATTTATTTATTGCCAAAATAGGGAACAGCCAGTATCCCTGTATCTCCATCCAAATGTGTGGCAGGTGTGCCAGAGAAGAAATTAAATATTTAGGCCTTATTTTGGGAAGGGATGATGAGTGACAGATCCAGAGAGAACAGGGGCCATAATTAGGCTCCCACATCCAGTCATGAAAAGCATGTACCAGGTTTGCTCAGAGCTGTGGGATTTTGTTGGACATAAATTCTTGTGTTAGAGGAATTGATTAAGCCTCTGACTGAGGCAACCAAGAACAAAGAGATAAAGTCCATTGCATAGGACCTGGAGAAGGAGTAAGCTTACAATGTTATAAAAGGAGCTCCGGTGTCTGTTCCTGGTCTTGGGCTCCTAGGTTATACAAAAACTTTCATTCTGTATGTATATGAATGTAAAGGAATAGCCAGTGGAGTGGTAAAGCACAATTCAGGACCCCATCAGAGATCATTTGCATATTACTCTGTTAAATTAGCTTCACTTGCAGCAGGAGCACTAGCCTAAGTCAGTGGCAACAACAGCAAAAATATTAGAAATGAGTTGTCCCCCACTATCCTGAGACACCCTGGAACAGTTTATATCCCACATGATGCAGAGATTCTGTTGACAGTCTGCAGCCCAAGCTCTAACACCACAATGGGCACATACATATGAACTGATCCTCACAATGGCAGATAAAAAAGATGTAGCGTCTTGAGTCCAGTGAGCCTAAAGCCTCTACCTGGTGATGGAGAATGTGCTGTTGTGGCTCTGGATGGCCAGAGTGAATGGCCAATTTTGGGTGACCTTAAGGCCATGTATGAGAAGGACTACTCAACAAAAGAAAAGAAACAATGGAAAAAAGTGGGAGGTGACAAAAGATTACGATGGAATATGGTCTACCATGATGGTCTACCAAGGGGAAGCCAATTCTGTCAAAGAGATATTTAATCTGTGTGGTTAGATGGTTTCACAATAAAGTCAGTGGAGAGGCAGGCACAACAACTAGCCAAGTAAAAAAGAATAAAAAATGGGCAGCTCCAGGAATTTATGCCACTGGAAAAAGAATCACAAACAGCTTCCCAGCCTACCAGAAGTTCTCAAGTACCAGACCAAGCTCAGAGTTAGGATGAGTAACTATGAGTCTACTTCCCTTTTCATGAGCCTACTTCCCTTTTCAGTGACTACAAATAGACTCTGTGGACACCCACGGCTGCATGTAAGCATTTGCTAGTGATAGCAGATCAGCTGTAAGGCTGGGCAGAAGCCTTTTCAACAAAAAGGGCTGGCACAAGGGGAGCAGAAAAGGCCTTGGCTTAAAAAATTTATCCCTAGACACAGGGTTCTACAGAGCCAATCAAACCAGAAAGGGGTGCTCATCTTACAGCTAATATAAACAAACAGTTGTGTAAGTCTTTGAGAATAGAGCATATATATATTATATATGTATGTATCTATATAGACATATAGAGATAGATATAACTGTATCACCCACAGTCTTCAGGACAAGTAAAGAGGATGAACAGAACATAAAAATACGCACATGCCCTTACCTGAAATGGCCACAAACCTTAAATTTGGCGCTGTGGAATGTTTGGAATGTTCCATCACAACCTGTAGCATTGGCAGAAAGCCTCTTTGGAAGGCACTCAGCTATATCAGGAAATTATATTAAAGTTAAGACCAGCCTTTTGGATGGAAAAGAACACCTGATCCAGTATTTTCATATAAAATATAGAAAGGGTTTGAGGAATGGAGAAATTATGCACAATAATATCAGCCTAGCCCACTTGAAATAGAAGTAAATGATACACAGCCTGCAGATGTAGTGTTAATCAAGATATTCTCACAAAAAAGTTAAATTAGTACCTAAATGGGAGGGACCATATGCTGGCCTACTGTGTTCTTATCTTGCTGTTAAAATTTTGTGTTAGGAAAGCAGGATACACCAGTCTCACATCCAACAAATTGTAAATGATAAACCACTTGGACAATAAAAGAGCTCTAAGAACCTTTCATGACCTTGTCTTGATAATAATTTCTGACCTACGACAATAATGTTAGCCTTAATTCTGTTACTTGTAATAATGTTGTAAGTAAGGACAGCGTAAAATACTGTGAAAGCTTTTTTTTTCCCTTTTAATGTATTGGCAGGTATGCTCAATCCAAAAACAGGGACAAACTTTCAGTGCAGGTAGCTCAGGGTGCAATTGCAATGAGAGCTGCAGGCTGAGCTATGGCTGGGAGCCCGAGGCAAGAGGCCATGAGCTGGTAACAGGTAACCTTGGCACAGGAAGGGGCACAGGGACCTGTGGCACCAGCCAGGGAACTGGACATTGAAGCACTGCAGGAGCCAAAGACTCAGCAGGAAGACTCCAGACTTTCCATGACACGGATTACGAAGGTATAAAAGTCCAGGAAATCCTTTGTTCTGGGCTCCTCCTTGGGTCACCAGCTAGAGCTGTTACTCTGTTACTGACCCATAAATAAATCTCTTTAGGGATCTAGAGCTCTGAGATTCTGCTGCTGGAAACCTGGGGTTGAACTGTTAAGGAAGCCTTATCTGACTGTCAGTGCGGGGTGTGTAGGGAGTCAGGCAGGGACCCTCTGGCCCACTGGAGAACCCCTGTGAAGGGGCCTCAGTCCCAGCAGTTACAGTCTCAGTTACAGTCTCTGGTGTTGTGACTGCCAGAGTGCTCCTGAATGGTCAGATGGGAACATTTATTTAACACACGTGTTCCTCTGGACATGACACACATGGATTCCACTAGGCAAACCCTCCTGCAGAAGTCGCAAAGACAGTAGTGGAGATGAAGCTTAGCATTTCAAAACACACAAGAACTAGAATTGTTCAGCTTCTGTCAGAGAACTCAGTGCTGTGTACAGCTCCTGTATGGGCATAGGCTGAGAAGACGAGGTTGAAACTCCCCTTGGAAAGGTACAGTGAAACAACATGGCTCCAGCTGTAATGAGAAAAATGTCGATTGACTGTAGTTTTCTTTCTGAAGATGGTCAAGCACCAGAACACAGTCCTGAAGAGGGTGTGAAACCCTAATTTTATTAATGCAGGGATTAGCACTTCTCTTTGTGTGTATAGAACAAGAGCAAACAATCTACAGATACCTACAATGATCCCTAAGATTCCATGGCTGTAGCCTGGGTCTGTATGAAACACTTTCCAAGAAAAAAACTGACTTTTGTATGTACAAGGCGCTTTCTAAATCGTTGGTTATGTCAGCAGCTATTTTGCAGACATGAAGTTCTGCCTGATTTCAGCAGGACTGCCCTTGTTCCTCCGTGCTCCACATTCCCATGTACTATTATTACATATTCTGACTCTCACATGTTCCACCAAAAATCTTGGTTTTTAAGTATCTTCCTAATTTTTCACGTCTTGTGTGTGTGTGCACGAGTGTTTGTGAATACCCTATATTTCTTTTATTCAGAGGAAGAACAAAGAATATGAGAAACTAGTATGAATTTGGTTGAATGCAGGTAAGCCTTACGGCCAATGGAAGTAAGTGTGCAAACCCTCTAAGAGCGCGAGCACTCTGTTTTGATTTCCACAAATGAGACCTTTCAGGGCACAAAATTCGAACTGAAAAACAGAAAGTGGCAAACATACTCCGAATACCATTTGCCCCCATATTTTTGTATCAGGTAAGTGTTTTGCTCAGCCCATGACACTGAAGCCCACCCCACGCCGACGCTGCTGAAATTCCACAAATTAAATCGGTTTTCCCACCGGGGCCCCGGAGGGAGCCAGCAGCTCCCAGGGCACCGGCTCTCCGGCTCCGGGGCTCACGCAGCTCCTACCGGCACTGCCTGCCCGAGAGCCCCGCTGCCCGAGGGTCGCTCCGGCGGCGAGTGACCGGCGCCGCTCCTCGCCCGCCCCCGCGCAGGGCGAGCGGCACGGCGGGACACCCAAAGTGCCTGCCCGAAGTGCGGCCCCGCCGCCTCTGCACACACCCTCCGCACGCCGGCCCCCCATCCGCCCCTCCCTGCCCCGCATCCTCCTCCTCCTCCTCCTCCTCCTCCTCCGCACCGTCCCGCCGCCTCCGGCATGGCGCAGGGCGAGCCGCGGGCCGCAGCGCCGGGGCCGCGGCTGTGCTGTGCTGTCCATGCCGGGCGGCCGCTGGAGCTGTTCTGCGAGGACTGCGGGAGCTGCGTGTGCGCTCTGTGCCCGGCGCTGGGCGCGCACCGCGGACACCGAGCCTGCCTCCTGCCGCACGCCGTGTGCCGCACGCAGGTGAGTGCCGCCCAGCCCCGCCGGCCCGGGCACCGAGTGCCGCAGGGAAGCACCCATAAACCGGCAGCGGAGACAAGATCTTCCTGATTTGCTGCCTTGGCCGATGTCCCGTCGTTTCTGGAACTTGTGCCGCTGGGTTTTCTTTGTCTAGGGTGTGATGGTGGCTTCTTTGAATATTACTATAGTGCCACGGTACTAAGCCGATCTTCAGCCTTGCTTATTAACACCTTGTGGAGTTCGAGGTTTGTAGGCTGCGTTGACTAGCAGAACAAAGTTTCTATACTGTCTGTGCTTCAACAAGTGCTTTGTAGACCCCATACAGACAGGGTCAGCCTGGTAGCACTGCACAAGGATATGGTTCCTGTAGGGAAAGGAAAGACTTAACCGGTCACACCCAAGCGTCCACAAAACAGGTGTATAAATCAAGGGACAAGGAGGAAGTGGCTTTGACTGTTAGGTAACATTTTATCCTCAGACTTTGTATGTGGAATTAGAGGAGTGTGGCTGCCCTGGGGAATTTGTTTTTATTGCCAGGCTGGAAGAACCTTTGACAGAAACATAAATGCCTCAGGGGGAGGGGAAAGGTCATTTCTGTTTACCCCCAGCCCCACCATTGTAGCTGGCTAGATCACAGCGACTGCCCATGCACAGTTCTTTGATAACTCCTCTGGGGTGTTGTGGGTTAACCCTAGCAGGCATCTAAGTGCAACACAGCTGCCTGCTTATTCACCTTCCTTGCCCAGTGGGACAGGGAAAGAGGAACATTAAAACCAAGAAAATTCATGGATTGAGACAAAAATAAATTTAACAGGAGAAGGATACGTGGAAGGAAGAGAAAAGGAACAGAAGTGGTGCAAAGGCAACATTCACCAGACAGTTCCTGAGCAAAAGGCAGCTAACCCACCCCAACACCCTGCTTCCAGTTTGCTGAACGTGATGGTGGCTGGTACGGATTACCTCTCTGATTAGCAGGGGTCATCTCCTGCTTCTGTCCCTTCCTAGTCTTACGTGCACTCACAGTATAGTCATGTCTGAAGCACAGCACCACACAAGCTGCCATGAGGAAAATTAACTCCATCCCAGCTACAGCCAGCCCAGAGGTTCTTCCCTAATATTTTTTTTCCTTCATCCCAGTATAGCTGTCCACCAAATACCCTCAGGAAGCTTTGCTTACTTGCCAATACTCCTGTCCTGCTTGTGCTTTTTTTTACTTGGAGAGCCTGCCAGGAGGCTTGCTGAGGCCAGCATGCTGTGGTGCTAAGCTTGGGAGACTTAAAATGCTGTAACACAGAGGTTTGATGTTTAGAAGCTTCCCCTCTCCTCTCCTCCTCTCTCAGCTCTCCTCTCTCCTTTCCTCTTTCCTTTCCTTTTTTCCTGCTTCCCAACCTTCTCTTTTTTTTTTTTTTTTTTTTTTCCTTCTCCCCTCTACAATTTCAGACAGTTCCTTCCCACTCCTTGTGTGATATTTTGGAGCAGTGTTACTAGGAGGTTTCCTACACCAGGAAGGAACAGTTCCTACAGAACTTTCTGCTTGGAAGTCCACACAGATTGTGAACCGGTGCACAGGTCATGATAAACTCCTTTATTGCAGTTCATGTTGGAGAGCGTTAATTACAAGGGCAGAGGGCCGTGCACTAGGCTGCCACAAGCAGCAGCAGCAGGAGCAGCAGAGAGGTAAAACCATTCAAGATGTCTGAGCAATGCAGAGCACTGCTGGTGTTCTCTCCTCCAAAGAGTCCCTCTTGCAGGTGGGAACTCACTGCAGTGTTTGCGCTCCCTTCACTGCAGGGTGGCAGCGTGTGGATGATGCAGGTATTGTGCAGTGGCACCTGATCTGAGGCAAAGTAAAGCGCACAAATCTACAGACTGCTGCTTCCCTGGGGGTCTGATGGGCACAGGGAAGTACGTGCTGTTGATAGAGACTTGTCTCTGCTGCATCAGGAAGTGAGCGGTGTAGAAACTTGTGACCCTCTGTCCCTAGGAGATATCTGCTGACATCTACTGGCTTAGGGCTGCAGAGATTTTAGGCACAAACTGTCGATAGTTTTAGCCCAAGGAATGGCACTTTGACTAGCGATTTTGTTTGCTGTGAGCAGTTATTCAGTATAGCCCTTGTGGCATAACATCAGCCAGGCAGCACTTCTTCCACTGAAAATCTTCCACAGCTCTTTCAGCAAATCCTAGCTGTGAGTGCTAAGAAGAGCTGAGAACCATTGTGTGAGGTCCATCAGCTGCTTCATCCCTGGATCAGACATTGTTTAAAATCATTGAAAAGGATGCTCCCTGTGTTCCTGAATGCAGCACACAGGATCAGCATTCTTTGCACTTGATAAGTGTCCTGTGAGCCTGACTGGAGCTCGGACTGTCATCTCAGAAATCCTTGCTTTTACAGTGTTTTCACTTGAATGAGTTAAAGCATCCAGACAGTCCCTAAAGGAGGTTTTTTTGGAGTCGACTTCTCAGGGTGAAAGACATGTGTTGCTGGCACAGTCTTCAATTGGCAGGAAGCAGGTCTTTCATGTACCTCTGTAAAGAAAGTAATGCTTAACCAGAAATGCTTGGGATTGGCCCAGGTGTTTGCATATGGTCATGGTGAGTGCACAAAGTAAGCTGTGTTACTAGCAAAAAAAGAAGATTGGGTTTTTCTCTGTGATCTTTGTCAGTCTTTGAGGAAGGAAATGAGGTCTAGGCTGCAAAATAAACTAAGGAAGGCTGATATCTGGTAGAAGTCCTGAATCCTCTAGTGGTGTAGAACTCTTCAATGACAAGACTGGAAAACTGTGGCTGGAATAAATAGTGTGGGTGTCTTGTTCTGTGCAAGAACATTTACTTGCTTGCATGGATGTATCTGTGTCAATGGCCTTCCAGATGCAGACTCTCTGGCTTTTTGGTGGGAGCTCATTTTCTTCTGACTGTCATACTCAAACAACAGAGTGCATGGGTTTTCTAAGGAGACACATCAGAAATACAAACAGTTGCTTGTGAAGAAACACTTCATCCTCTGTTTGTCCATGCTGCAGAGTATAAATGCTGTGCTGCCCTGGGGCTGTTGCAGTGAACTGGTACATGTGCATGCAGGTGTTCCTGACTGGGTCTCAGCTGCTCAGAAGAGCTCAGAAGAGGACACTGATAGCAGCTACAGCTGGCACTACATCTGGTATTTACTGGTTTTAGCACCAGTGCACTGAGAATGTGGGGCAGCACTGACTGTATTCTTCACGTTACTAATGACAAAAATGCACTAGCAGGCACACCAAGACTCTTCCATCTGTTGGGAAGAGGGCAGCCAATTTCAGAGGGCTGCAGATGAGAAACTGGAGCAAGACATAAGCAGAGTATTGATTATGCAGTGCTGGGCACACCACAAGTGTCACAGATACTGTGATTGATTACCAGCCATCCTGACAGAGCATTAATTACTATTAATCAGCTAATAATCTGATATTAGCTGCTGCAGACATTCAGACCGCAGCACCACAGTGGTGATAGTGGGGTATCTGATTGGTCTTTTATACACTGGGAAGCATCCTGAACATTCACTGGATCTTGATTCTAAGTGGGGCCTTCCACTTACATTCTAAATAAAAGTACTTGGCTGTCCTTCAGCTGCTAAATGCAGTAGCACATAATCTTGAAATACACAGCACCATAGATGTAAAGATGAAAATGCTTTTTTCACTTTGGGTTTCCCTGTGCCTTAAGAAAGTGGTGCTAATTTTCACAGCTGTGCAAACCTTACCAGTATAACCACCAGGTGACATGCTGAAATCCTTATGGTTCATCACTGTGCACTGAATAAGCCTCATGAAAGGCCATTCATTTAAGAGTTGTACCTTCCAATTCAGAGTATTCTATGATTCTGAAACTGAGTATTTCCGTACCCCCCTATATGGAATCAAGCTGGATAGTGGCATCTGTTTTTTACAGATGTTGTTAGGAAACAATGTTATATTTTTGTTTAATTGTTGTATAGGAATGCATGGCATTGTGCTTGAAGAATCTAGAAGAGAGAAAAGAGCAAGAAGCTGGTAACAGAAGGAGAATACAGCAGGCCATAAATGATGCGAAGGTAAAGTGTGGTTTCATTCTCCACTGGATTGTCATTTACCAAGGGAAAATTCCAAGGGATTTTGTTTTCTCTGTAGCTGTTCAAAGACCCAGCCACTTACTGCTTCTCAGAAGAGTATATCCATCACAATGTATCACACTATCAAAGAGAGGGAAGAGGGAGAGTTTCCAAAGACCTGGTCCTCATTCCTTGATCAGATGAACATCTCTGGAAGACCAAGGGTGAAATTTTTATGCAGAGGAACAGTAGGTAGCCCCAGCTGCCTATGTTATTCTACCTTCACTTACATATTTTGCATTGGACTGAACAGCAGTATTGAATTTTCTGGATTCAGAGTTGAGTAAACACAAGAAAGGTTTGGTTGATTTTGTCTTAAGAATGGGAATGTATGCTAAGCTGCACCTCATTTATAGAGCATGAAATGGCTTCTGCTCTAAGGAGCATCTCTAAGCAGTTCTGTTACAGAAATGTCAGTAAGAGCTTGAGGGGGCTTTAGAGACTTAGTGGTTGGATGCCACTTCGTTTTTGCGGTTTTCTCTTCCTACCAGCTACTTGTCTCTAGCTTGCTTTAAAAGCAGTCAAAGTCTTGCTACTGAAGGACAACGTCTGCTTCTTGTTGCAATTGGTACTCTGTTAATTCCAGTTGAAAACAGATTTTTCTACATAAATAGGCATCTTGGAATCTTCCCTCCATCTTTTCCATCCAGACATCAGCAGGTAGATAATGCCTGCCTTGCCTTAAGCAGTAGAGACACGTTTCTGAAGAGATGGAGAAAATCAGTAAAATTCAACCAAAACATAGTATTGAAAGAGAAATATCTGAAGTGTTTATGGTCTGTTGAGCAGGGGAGAGATGTTGTTCTGCTTATCCATAGGCACATGCTGATATCATCAAACAGCAGCTGTCAGAAAAAATTACTGAGCTTCAGTTACTTCTTCGGGAAGAAGAGAGTCTGGCAAAAAACTTCATTGATGAAAAGACTCAGCAAGGCCTGGGAGCACATGATCAGCATTTGAGGTCCTGTGAACAACAGCTTGCAGCCCTAGAGACCTTCACACATCGAATCAAACAAATACAGCAGGACAGTGATCCTATTCATTTGCTGGAGGTGGTATTGTATGGTGTCCTTCTACCTCTTACCCTGACAGTCCTTGATAAATTTCTCTAGTGATATGTTCTGTGGATCCTTCTGTATGTAAGCAGCATCTTTCTTAATGCTTTGTAATTTGCTTTGTGTTGGTGTTTCGGTGAATAGGTTTGGTTGCTGGTTTTTGAGTTATTAGGTGTTCCTGCTATGGCATTGATATCAGGTCTGTATGAAATTCATGTTAATTTTAAGCATAGATGGAAAAGACAGATACATGTGTCTTAATCTTGATGTAGATTAAAGTATCTGTTGTATCACATCTTTCCTTGTCCAGTGTAATATGAAGACCTGAGAAAAGGCAGCCCTCAGGAAACCTCAGGAGGGAAGTTAAAATGTGTGATTTCCTTAATTGCAGGAAATCCTAATCACCATAAGCAATAGCCATCACTTCACTGGAGGGGGCAATGATTTTCTTTTTGCCTACAGATAAACATCAGTTTCTCCTAATGATCTCCACTTTCCTTGGGAAGAGTGTGTTGCCATGTGCTTATGCCCTGACACAAGCCAAAAGATGCCATTTCTTACAGGATGGTGCCTCTGGTGTATTTTTGCATCCTTGCAATGTGTCAGACTTGGGTTTCCACTGCTGTGTTATGGCCCTGGCATTCTGCTGTGTGTGCTAGCAACACACCTCCACACAGGAGCTGCTCTTCGTGATTTTGTGGAGATTTTCTTGTGGGGAGGTTGGATTTTATTCTAAAAAATTGCTTTTAAAACTTAATGGTTTGATTTTGTCATTTGATGTGATTTCCCACGGAGGGTCCTGGTCAGGCTAAACTCATTTCCATCCTGGAGGGATCTCTTTTAGCCATGGCTGTTGGATTCTCCATGTCAGGGTTGGCCACAGGGTTGGCAGGAGAAGGTAATGGGCAGGCTAATGAGCTAAAAGGCAGGCTGAGCTCAGCAAAGCTTGCCTGTTATGGCCCATAGGTTTACCTGGTGATGGAGCTGTCCTTGCTCTGTGGTTCTCTTGTGGGAGGGAAGAGTCCTTTCATGTCAGTCTCTGCTAATTGTAGCATTTGGCTTTCTGCCCTCAGAAGTACACAGAAATTGAGAAGGAAATGAAGGAATCCAGGCACCTGTTAGAAAAGTGGCATCCAGTACCTCTCTCGTTTGAGCACTTACTTAATCATTATAAACACTTAATCGGAGTTCTTCAGTCCATTCTACTAAAACCATTGGAAGCCCGGCTTAAAGAAGGTACCTGGGAGAGTGCTCTGAATTTTGCTTTTTTCTGTTCTCTTTGCAAATAAAATGTACTTCTAAAGTAAGAACAGGACTTTTAACCAAATCATCTGGAGAAACAACAGTGTTTCAGGCATGAATACTGTTTTCGGACAGCATGGGTGTAATGCTGCTATAGCAGTGGTGATTTAGGAACGTTTCTCTTCCAACTCTGAAAATTATCTTTGGTTTGCCTGCTGCTTTCCCCTTCCCCCCCTCCCAGTTCTCTCAGATATTTCAATGAAATTTAATGTAGTCCATCACACATACAGAATGTATCTATTCTCTCAGTTACTTACAATTTGGTATAAGTGCTCTGGCATTGGGCTACCTCTAAAATTTGAAAGCTTTTTCTAATGATGCCCTTGGTGATCTACCTCAGTCTGGAAAAAAAAAAAAAAAAAAAAAATTTGGTACTGTAAAGCTGAGCTAACATGGTCTATTTAGAAATCCCATTGTCTTTGAGGTGTTATTTCATCCTTAAATGACCTTTGGCATGATTAAGGCAAGTTTTTCTTGATGGGACACAGAGCCACAAAGCTAAATAACTGTGGGAAAATCCTGCTGCTCTTTGAGTGAGCAGGCAACACTGGCCATCACATTTCACCCAGCTGCCTTTTAATCCCTTACTGGGAAATTGCCACTGAAAAGACAGTACAGGTTGCTGGGGCAAATGGCCAGACCCGATCTGAAAGGCTGCTGCAGGATGTGTGTAGGACTGCTGGGAAGCATAGTGGAGGTGCCCTGCAGCAAGCACCTGCAACTGCTTTCAGCTGCCTGATTATTTTCATCTGATAAGGGCTACTTTTTAAGAAATCAGGTGCTTACTTGGTGTTGTGTTCAATTGTGTATTTCTTTGGTAACACTAGTCCAGCATCTCCATGCTATCCAAAGGGCGTAATGCTGAAAGCATACAGAGTGAGTAAAAGGAAAAGTAACACTGTTTGTCCATGAATTAGGAAAATGATAGTTGAAAACCAGGCAGCCTCCCTGACTGTCCCTTTTCATCTTTGCCCAGATGTTTTCAGTAGCCTTAATCCCACTGCAATGAAGGAGCCTGGGACAGTGCTGAAAACCATGACTCCTGTCGATCGGTTGCTTTTCTTAAAACGTAAGTATGATTATACTGGAGTCCTAGAATCTCCTGAGCTGAAATGGACCCACAAAAATCACTAGGGTCCAACTCCTGGGCCTGCACAGGACCACGTGTCTAAGAGCATTGATTAGAGATGTGTGGAGGCATCAGTGCTGGTGCCCTGCTGTGATTCCCTTGGCATGCCTTTTGCAGTCCCAGTGTCTCCGGAGCGGTAGGCTCTGTGGCTCTCTGGATTCTGACCTTAACACAAATGGCAGCTTGGTGCTCAGGTGCCCATCGCATTGGTGGCCTAGGTTAGAAAGGTGTGTGGACAGCACTGTTGGTTCACTCCTTTATGCACTTGGCATGCATTTTCCAGCCCCAGTGTCCCTGGAGCTGTAGGCTCTGTGGCTAGCTGGACCCCATCCCTACCTAAAGTACAGTCAGCAATGCTGGGGCCCTGCCTTGCTCAGACTGGAATTCCTTTTCCAGACCCAGTGTCCCACACGTGTGGGCTTTCTGGCTGAGCCCTAACCTTAAGCATAAAGCAACCTTTGTGCTGTGGCTGAGGTCCCCATCACAAAGGTGTGGAGGCAGCAATGTTAGCACCCTGCTGTGATACCTTTGGCATGACTTTCCCCCAGCCTGTGTTCCTGGGACTGCAGGCTTTCTGGCTGTCCCAAGACACTGCCAACTGTGGGCTCCTTTGCAGGCGTTTTGTAACTTGGACTTCTTCCAAGGGTCATGAGCAATGTAGCAAGTATGTTTATGGCTTTAACCGCAGATGCAAGATCACCAACCTGGGAATATGACAACATTCACCCAAGACTGAAATTGTCTGACGACCGTCTTGAAGTAAGCTGTAGCTGGAGGAGAATATTTTACCCCTGTAGTCCCCAGAGATTTGATAAATTATGGCAAGTGCTAAGCAGAGATGCATTCCTTTCTGGGAGCCATTACTGGGAAGTTGACCTGCTTCATGCTGGAGCAGGATGGTGGATTGGCGCAGCCTACCCTACCATTGGCAGGAAAGGAGACTCTGAAGCCTGTCGACTGGGCTGGAATAGAGCATCTTGGTGCCTTAAGAAGTTTGATATTGAGTACTGGGCATTTCACAAGGGAGAGAGAATCCCCATCCTGATACAAGATGATCCTGATTGCATTGGCATTTTTCTGAATTATGAAGCAGGAATTCTTTCATTCTACAATGTTAGTGATGGCATGGCTCATTTGCACACCTTCCACTGCAAGTTCACAGAACCAGTTTATCCAGCCCTGAGACTCTGGGAAGGGTCCATTAGAACATGCAAACTAACGTAAGAAACAATGTGAAATAAAGCCTATTTCAAGCTTTTTCTGTTAGTGCCACTTCAGCAATTATCTACACGAATTTTTCTCTGTTGTATCAAAGTTGTAATTTTGATGCTTTAAGAAGATAACGTAAGTTCAGGAAAACCACCTGTGATTTTTAATGTTTTTTTTTTTTTCCAATGAGGGAAGGTGATCTGACTTTTATAAATGATGTTGATGTGCCACTCGAAGTCCTGTACGTACTATTACTTTACTTTTTCCAACTTGTAACAGTAAGTTCAAGAAAAACAACTGTATTTTTTAATGTGTATGTATTTTTCAATGGGGGAAGATGATTTGCCTTATAAATGGTGTTGCTGTACCACCTGAAGTGCTGTATGTAGTATTTTTTGACTTGCAAAATGGAAGAAGTCAGGTTGAAAGAAACATATTACAACTTAGACTGGAACCTGGATATTGACTTTTTAAAATTTTTTTAAATGAACTTATTCTCCTCATTGGCCTGGAGAGACTGCAGTTGTGTATGGCAAGAGGTTTAGTTTGGTTCAAGCTTTGAGATTATATACTGCATATTGTTATCATTGACAAGGCCAAATTTGGATAATAAATGCATTAAGTGCATTAGCTCATATTTCAGCATCATCTTGGAAAGATCAAAGACTCTTGCAAAGGTCTCTTCTGAAGCTAGAGCTTCTGTGGCCACATTTAATAGTCAGTAGCTGGTCTTGTATGTGACAGAAACTCTGAACTGGACTTCTGGGTGACCCTATTCTTCCCACTGAGTGGAAGCATGAGAAAAAGCTGTGTACAGAGGATGAGAGCTCCTAACAGAGGATGAAATGTCTTCAAGGCTCACAGGTGAAATAAAATCACCAGGCTAGAGGTGCATTTGTGGCCTGTTTATCCTTGTGTCCAATTTGGAACATCCACATAAAACCAGGAGACACAGCTTGCAAGTTTCTGTATATGGATATTTCTCCCCCCACCAATACATTAATTAAAATCCTGGGAATTTCTGGAGTCTTTGCTTACAGCAGTCTCCAGGACCAGCCCAGTTAAGAGTGAAAAACCACTGCTACTTGAAACTGGTTGGGTAATCTTGCAGTGTTCAAATACTAAAGGCCCTGCATCACCAGTGCTGGCAATGGCAAGGTCCAACCATAGGCTGAAATGCATAAACAAGAGCTTGTTTTATAAGATAAATTTATTTTTCAAATTTGAAATTAAAAAAAACAAACAAACATCTTTTAACAATTGAGTAGTTTTTTAATGTAAGGCAAGTATACTGCATCAGTCACAGCTCACATATGGTTAAGTATACATATGACTCAACCTCTGTTTCCCCATTTAAAGATATGAATACAGTTTCCTCAAAATTGCACAAGGGTAAACATTTTTAAAGTAAACAGTTTATGTTTAAACAGGTTTAAACAAAACCACTCACCACCACATTCAAGATACTTCACCGACTCATGACCTAAAAGTAGCAAGTTCCAAGTAACCATCACTAGTAAATGATTCCATCACATAAAAAAAGCAGATGAATTATTGCAAAGCAGTGCTGTGCTAAGCAATGTAATTGAAGAATGACTGGTTTGCAGCTGCTGTTATATGGCTCCTTTCTGGTCAAAGGGAAAAGCAGCAGCCAATAGGAGTGGGATTGCATTTCTCACTTGAAAAGTGAGAAGCTGGGAAGCAAGAGCAGAGCACACAAAAGGTGTACCGACCATCATGCTGAAGCATAATGGTGTGGTGTAGTCAGGCAGTCAGGCTCAGCCATCTCACACGCCAATGTTGAGAGAAAAACCCCAATGTAGAGGATTTGCTGGTTAGTACAGAAAAAAAAAGCAGCTCAAGCTTCACCAGCATTTGGCTTCCTACCTGAGAACTTGCCACCCAGGTTCAAACAGAGGCATCCAAATGCTCTGCAGAATAGACTTAATATTCCAGACTTCACTCAACTAGCAATAGGTGCTTTTCACAGGCACAGGTTAAGCTTATTTCTACTGATTCATCTCACATCTACTTTTCTTCCCTGCTCCATCTCTCTGGCTTGCCTTTTGTGCCTTTCAGTTTATAAAAGGCTCTCTTGCCCCTTAAATGGAACCTTTCTAAATATTCCATATGCTTCTGTTCCTGGTACTGTCTCTTGAGAACCTAGCTTTCTCAAGAAGCCCATTTCCCCACAGAATACAGATTCCTGCAACCCACTGCTTTATCATGACACTTTTAAGACTTTCATCTTAAAAAAAAAAATCCATCCAGGTTGCACTTGTAGTTTTCTTTTCAGTGTATGTAAACTTCCACTGATCTGTGTTCAACCAGAGTCTTGCTATCACAGGGGTGAGGCAAATGGCAGAAAAGAGAGGAATATCAAAAGATACATGGCTAGAACAATTCAAAGTGTAGACAAAATTCTCACGATTTACTGTATTCTTAACAGAAGAGGGCAGCTGGAAAGCAGCAGACTGTGACCTTATATTTGGCAATACTCCAAATTAATCTAGGTTAAGTGGAATGGAGAAGAGAGGATCATGGCATTTCCTAGGCACAATGCTATACAGTTTCTAATAAAATCTTCATAATTTATATCCCCTTGCTTCTGAAACTTCCTGCTAATAAGAACCTGAAAATTCTAACTTGTTTGCACCCTCATAATTACACCCCTTTCTTCTAATCTACCATGCTGCTATTCTCAAACACACTGTGTAGTAGTGCATTGAGAAATATGAAATGGACTGCTTTGGTTTAGCACTTCACTTTTTTCACATGATTTTCCACTACTTGCTCAGTGATGGTTTCATCTTCTTCAATATTTTTTTTAACCTTCTGGCCCACCAGATCAAAGATGGATTCTGGGGGAAATCCCTTTGGCTCTCCCACCTTCACTGTCAGCATGTCAAGTGTCAATATTGAACCTTCAGGAATTGCCACTTTTGCCACGACTGACTTTCCCAGCTACAGGGGAGGAGAAAAAAAACAACCAATGTTTAAGTTAAATTCATTGCTAGCTTAGCATAACAAAAAAAAGGATAAAAAACATTGTGCAGTTATTTGAGAACAGGTTTTGTAGAACTGCCTTCTCCATTACTTATTCCAAATGATGATTAATTTAGCATGGTTACTTTCACTGTAACCAGGCTGTCAGGAACATGCAGATGTTTTCTGAAACTGGACAGTGGCTCACTGTTTGTGATTCTTCAAAATCACAGTGGAGGGAATCTGATTAGAATGACTGGTATTTTACCTTAGTGTAAAAGCACCTCATATACAATCATAGAGATATTATTCCTATCACTATTGCCAAGTACCTGGTACTGGTGAGGCCACACCTCAAGTCCTGTCCATTTCTGAGCCCCTGACTACAAGGAGGATACTGAAGTGCTGGAGTGAATCCAGATAAGGGTCATGAAGCTGGTGAAGGATCTGGAGCAAGTCCTATGAAGAGCAGCTGAGGGAGCTAGGGTTGTTTAGGCTGGAGAAAAGGAGACTCAGAGGGGACCTTATCACTCTACAACTCCATGAAAGGAGGCTGTAGTCAAGTGGGGGTTGATTTCTTCTCCCAGGCAGTAACTGACAGAACAAGAGGAAACGGCCTCAAGTTGTGCCGGGGAGGGTTAGACTGGACATTAGGAAAAATTTCTTCTCTAAGAGGGTTATTAAGCACTCAGACTGTCTAGAACATGGAAGTGGTTGAATCATGATCCTCAGAGTTATTTAAAACGTGTAGATATGGCACTTAGGAACACACATTAGTGGTTGGACTTGGCAGTGTTAGGTTGGACTGAATGACCTCATGGGTCTTTTCCAACCTAAATGATTGCATGCTGCTACTCAACTTAGTTAACCACTGGATGATAAACACAGAACTCTATTATAATCAAAACAGCCAACATTGTGCAGTGTGAAATTTTTTAAATGTAGAGGCAGAAACACTACTGCAATAAACAATTTACAAGCTATTTCTCTGAATACCGAGTTATTAGCTTTAGGTCCAAATTAGCTGCAGGTTTACACAAACCAAAAAAATCAAAAGTTACCTTTTCATTGCAAGCCATTTCACAGGGCAAGAGTTGTTTGATTGGAGAACCCATTGCTTTTTCCACAGTACGGATGGCTCTCACTAACTCTGCCAGCTCATTTGGCTCCAGAGATGCTTGGTGGTCACTTCCTTTCCATGTTTTGTCCAGAGTCACATGGCGCTCCAGTACTTTAGCACCCATAGCAACAGCTGCCACTGAAATGGCTATGCCAGTTTCATGCCCCGAATAGCCAATGGGGATATCAGGAAAAGCTGACTGATATGCCTTGAATCATGACAGAGTTGGTCTGAATTACCAAGGTAGCAGTTTCAAAGACAAAGCAAATTTAACAGTGATAACTTCAGTGGACAAATACTGTGCCATAAAACAAGCAATTGGTTATGCAGAGAATGCAACTTTTTTAATTCAGCAAGTCACACTGCACTAACAATCACCATATTCCAAATTTGACTAATATCAATACTGACAAGAAAAAGGAAGAACGTTCTTTTCTGTAACTTATGTTTCTTATTTTAATTCAGTTCTACTATTCAAAGCCTGTATCAGTGTAGTGTAACAGTAGTAAGTATCCTATTTTCATCCAAGAACCCAGTGGACTGGTTAATCTGTAGCCAAAACAGATTTCTTCAACACTGTGTTTAAAATCTGAAGCAATCTTTAAAGACTGCATTCTCTATCCATGCATAGAGAACAGCCACCAAATCCTAAAGGCACTTACAGGCAGCCATGTGCCATTCTATTAAAAATAATGTACTATGTGTGCACAGATCTAAGGTAGTGCTTGAACACTGGCCAGTTTGGAAAAACTTTCTTCCATCACTATTTGGTGTATCTAAGTAATATCTCAAATGAAGGAAACTGTAGTAGAGTCTAATCAATTTTCTTCATTGCTCTGATAGACACATGCAGCTTTATTAACATACTTTCTGGTCTAGTTCCCTATCTTGAATTACGTTCTCACTTCATGCACCTTCTTAATGGTAACTGTCTATGTGATTTTTCTTAGCGCTGTAAACCACAGGGTTAACTAGCTCACCCTATGTCATGTTTTCCTCTGTTGAACTGTGAACACTCTTTACCATATTCCTCAAAGGTGAGTTCTGCCAAAAAAAGGACGTGGTGGATCTTTTTAACTCAGTGTTTGCACTGTTAATTAGAGGAACATGACACATGTTGTAACTTCTCAGAAGCAAATTCCAGCACACCTTAAGCCCTGGAAGTGGTCTTATTCCAGTAAAATAATACAGCCCTTCTCTGCTACCCCACCCATAGCATGCTCTGGGTTACTCACTGACCGATATAACACGGAGGTTGACATCCTCTGGCTGAAGTGGGTACGCGCTGGTGCACTGCAGGAAGCAGAAGTTTGGATTGAGGGGCTTCACAATCTGATAAACCTGATGCATTGTGTTCATTGACTGCATCCCGCTGGAAATCACCATTGGGCGACCTAGCCATTGGAAAATAGGCACAAGTTTTGTACAACAAAGCTACAAAGCTACAAAGATTAAATTAAATTCTTTGTAAGTAAATTAATTCAGTAAAACTAGAAAAGAATGCTGGGTAAATTTATATTTTTCAAAGTCTAAGGGTGAGT